CCCATTTTATTTTTTATATGATTATTTAATGCCATTCATTCAACTTATCCAATATGATCAGGTGAGAACAAAATCACCTCAGCAGTCTCATTCGCCGCAGCAGGAGGGAGCTCCAGTACAAGAGCCGGACAAGATCAAAGGGCGCGCGCTTGGGACGGGATGACAGATGATGACAGTCCCAAGAATGTGGTCCCAGTTTTTATCCCATAGACATCCACCATGATGCCATGGTTTCTGGGAGTTGTTTAATACTATAGGGGGAAGCGGGGAAGGGATTATATGAGTAGGTAGTTTGAATGTTCTGATTTTCCTGACGCTATAGATATTATATCTACCACAAACCATAGTAGTTAGCCATGCTATAAACCAACTTGGCTATGATAAATCAGCTATAAATCCAGGTTCAATCTTTGGGACCTGCTTCTTTTTTCTGCTTGGGAGGCTTTTGGAGCGACGCTTCAAGAAGAAACCCGAGGGCGACTTGGGTCGTACTGCCAGGTAGCCAAGCAGGGGACCGTTTTTGGGACTCCCCGTGATCGAGACTTCAGGTACCCCCAATTTTCTACAGTCGAACTTTGTGTGTTTATCCAGGATTGACATTACCGTAATTTTTGATTAAACACAGATACCTAGGATTTTTTTGTATCCGCAGGGTCTTTGGAACTGGAAAAAAAATCTCCAGAGACAAGCGGCAATGGCTTGATTGTATTTCCAACTTCTGTATGACATGGTGCCCCAACTTGGACCAGAGATGGCCAGTCAGATTTCGCAGAAGTGTCATATTGAATACCAAAGGACCCCTGGTTGATTGTTGGATCAAACTGATCTAACGATTCATTTTGGCTCAATCATATTGGTGGTATTTCATCATGGGGATGGAAAGTCGTCTCCATTTTGCGTGCCCGAGGATGCGGCTCTCAGTTGGAGATGGACCTAACATGCGCAAAAAGAGAGATAGACATAGAGCATATGGGGTTTCCATAGTCATGGTGGTACCCCAGTAGCTGGATGGTTCATTTCATGGAAAACCCTAGAAACATGGATGATTTAGCGGTGCCCCCATTTCAGGAAACCTCCATATGAACAAATCCACCATGAACAAAAACACACATTTCCCGGGAAACCATGGGAAATGGTTCGTATTTTTATACCGCAGGATAATCATGGACAACTGCTTGGGTCTAACCCGGACGGCCATGGCCATCTCTGGCAGATGTGGCTGGCAGGAGAGCAGGGGCCACTGATCATGAGATGATTCTCTGGGGTTCGGCAGTTTGATCCCACATCTTCACAGAAAATGCAATATTTGTACAAATTGAACTGGGAGAGATTTCAAATTGGAATAGTTTTTTGCTATAGCAACTCTAGTTTTGACTGTCGCAGTTCAAATGGAAAACCCGTAGAATCTGGTTGATGGGTGCGTTCCTCGGTAGGAGCTGCCACGACTTCTTTGAGGCCGGGGTCCAATGACTGCACTGAACTTGGCGCTTTTTATTTATTCAACATAAAGTCAGGATTTCCTTATTGGCATGCAAAACGGGTCACAATATATTAATATATTATATACATACTCGACATACAAAATTGTATAGCTTTATAAATTAAAAAAAACGTCGTGCGCATATAATTCATATTTTTTGGTTTCTATGTGATGATACCATTCATAAACCTCAAAAACATCCAGTCAAAACTGGTTCCATATGATGATGTCGGGGCACGGGGGTCGCATTTGCCCCTACTCAAGGTGGAGGCCGGGGCGAATGTGACCCCTGCGAAAATCTGTGGCAGGCGCAATAGTTTCAGAGCCTCGAAAGGATCTTTTCCAGCTCAGATAGTCATTTTCACGTGCTACGTTGTAAAATCCATTTCAAGCAACTTCCCAGACGCTCTGGATGCTATGTTGTAACATCCCTTGGCTAGCATAGCTACAGAAAAGGTGCTGCGCTCCGACTGTTGACCACAAATGTTCATTGCTGTCTAGCTTAGATCCAGGGCCCCTAAATACCGAGGATTGCTACCTCACCCCCCCTAACCAATGTCCCCAAGTCCCCCCTAAATGTGCCGCATCCCCAGGTCAAACCCTAAAAGATTGAATGACACATTCAATGGAAAGGATAGTGGGGTACAGTAGGGGCGAATGTGACCCCTTTTGGGGTAAGGGCGAATGTGACCCCCGTCCCAGAATTATCAACCCCCGGCGCTAAGAAGAATCATGTATCTCTCTGGGGGACCAGGTCCAAACAGTCACAGCTACGGTGGGCCAAAGTCTGGTGACCATGGTCAATTGCTTCATTAACTTGGATGATGCAGTTTATTGACCCCAAGTTACGCACACACTCCTATATATATATATACATACATACACACACGTACATTTCATTGTATATTATGAGTCATGCCAGAACATGTATATACACGTAGTTTGAGTTATCCCATGAAATAAGCAGGGTTGTACCATTGTGTTTTTTTGTCTTCAAGCGGCGTTTGCATGGTGATGTTCTGTGGTGAACCTCTAAAATCTTCGCTTCATTGAAGGTTTGGAACCTTCCATTGATTTTGATGACCAGAATATGGGCATCGGATGGCATAGGGATACAGCGAAGAAACACTTTTCATGAGCATCTACACGCGATATGAGTGCGCACACACACACTGTCACACATGTGTGTATAAATAAATAAAAACATCAATAAATAAATATAAATATACATAAATATAAATAAATATATATATATATGTATGTATGTATGTATGTGTGTGTGTATGTATGTATGTATGTAATGTATGTATGTATGTATGTATGTATGTATGTATGTATGTATGTATGTATGTAATGTAATGTAATGTAATGTAATGTAATGTAATGTAATGTATGTATGTATGTAATGTAATGTAATGTATGTAGTAGGTGTATGTATGTTATGTATGTAGTATGTATGTATGTATGTATGTAGTATGTATGTATGTATGTATGTATGTATGTATGTCATGTCATGTATGTATGTACGTACTGTATGTATGTATGTATGTATGTTGTATGTATGTATGTGTATGTAATGTATGTATGTATGTATGTATGTATGTATGTATGTATGTATGTATGTTGTATGTAGTATGTATGTATGTATGTATGTATGTAGTATGTATGTATGTATGTATGTATGTATGTATGTATGTATGTATGTATGTATGTATGTATGTATGTATGTATGTATGTATGTATGTATGTATGTATGTATGTATGTATGTATGTATGTATGTAATGTATGTAATGTATGTATGTATATACACATTCAATTATGTATTTGCAGTCAAGTAATCAGCAAAGGCAGCATGAATAAACTGAAGAAACATGCAACAAACCAATAGCAAGGACAATCCACCCTATCAACATGCCCGGAATTCTTGCACATTCTGGTGATTCCATTTAGAAAAAAGTTGGAATCACGCTGAGTAATCTGAATCCATGGCTCACATGCCACACTTTAGTGCTGGAAATCCACCATGATCCATGGCAACAAATGCTCTGGAGAGATTCCAGCTATCAGCCGTTTCCATCTCGGCTCGAGCAGCACCATGAAAGATATGGCGCGGCAGATGAGCGGTGCGAACCACCCTTCCCTTTCAAATCAAACGTCGGAGGAAGGTGGTGGTGGTGGTGGTGGTGATGGTGGTGGTGGTAGTAAACTTGGCACTGAGGATGCTGAGGAAATCACAGAAGATGAAATAGAACTCAGGTTCCAGCAGATGATTCCACTAGTTGCTCAGCAGATTGCACGGATGGAGGTGACAAGTCCCGAGGTTGTAAGGGTCACACCTGTCTTCCGAACCTTTGAGAAGGGTGCTGTCGCCTTTCGAACGGAATGTACTGGTGACTTCTATTTCAAGAGTGAGAGGAGCGAGAAGATTTCTACCTTTTGGAGTCACTCATGGCACGGTGGACATTGGAAACTGAGCTGAGACAGTGATGAATGTAATCCTTTCGTTTTATGTGATGAAACCATTTTAATAATTTTTGGGTCGCAAAATAGTCTAGCAATTTTGATAGGGAACATAAGGATCAAACCTCTGGAGTTGTTGCACAATTTGAGAACCATTCTAAACCATGATGTTGGCACTTTTATACACGACCTTAGAAACTGGAGTGAGTAAATCCCCAAGTTCGAGACAAGCACAGATGGGCATGGGTCATAACCTTGGTACCATTTAGCTTATCAGAATGGCCAGTATATAGATGTTCAATGACGTCCATCCCCCCGAATGGTATCGCATGTTTTGAGCCATAACCATATGACACAGGAAGAAGATCATAACGCTCATCACCATTTACAACGGCCCGGCGGCGTCCGTCTTGGGCATGCTCTCGGCTCTTGTGATGATGCTGCTGTTCTGCTTGGACCTCCTTCCGAGCTTGGACCGGGGCAGGACGGGCCGGAAAACATCCGACATGGTGGGCTGTAACCAGAAGCTCCACTTGTGACAAGTTTCATCGGAATAATTATGACGAACAGGTGGATTAAAAACTTCAAAACTCGATGAAAATCGGCGCAGAAGGTCCCTACGGAATTGGCGATCATGACAATCATGATGAGGCGACTATGAGGTCAAGGTCGGTGACGATGCCGTCTCCGAGTCAGATGCTGCCGCCGCCGCCGACGATGACGACGACGACGAGGACAAGGAGGAGGAGGACGAGGACGAGGACGAGGACGACGAGGAGGATGAAGAAGAAGAAGAAGAAGAAGAAGAAACAGAAGAAGAAGAAGAGGACAACGACGACAACCATGTTGTTGTTGTTGTTGTTGATGATGATGATGATGATTGTGATGATAACGATGATGGTGATGTCAAAGATGATGTTGCCGTTGTTGTCGATGATGGTGATGGTGATGGTGGTGATTATGATGACGATGATGAAGAAGAAGAATAAGATGATGATGATGATGACGACGACGACGATGATGATGATGATGATGATCATGACAAGGATGACAAGGATGATGATCATGATGATGATGACGATGATGATGACGATGATGGCAAGGATGATGATCATGATGATGATCATGATGACGATGATGACGATGATGACAATGACGATGACGATGATGATGATGATGATGATGATGCTGATGCTGCTGCTGATGTTGCTGCTGATGATGATGGTGATGAGGAGGAGGAGGAGGATTAGGATGAGCATGAAGATGAGAAGGTTCGCACTGGGGTGTGATTCGAATCTACAGTTTCCAGGTACATCCCCTTCGGTTTGTATTTGTTTTGAATCAGGAAGTAGAGACTTCCCAAATGGATCCAAATGGTGATTTCCTATTTTTGAGGACGGGCGAATATCCCATTGGATACTCGTGTTGGTCGCTTTGGGCTGGTTTCCTGGTCACCTCTCTCGCGATGATACTGTGGCGACCTCAAAGTCGTGTATTCTTGGACCGCATTTGCATCAGCCAAACTGACGTGGCCTTGAAAACTCAAGCGATTTTTAGCCTGGCCGGGTTGCTGAAAAAGTCGGATTCGATGCTCATTCTATGGGATCCAAGTTGGACTGAGCGGCTGTGGTGTTTGTTTGAGCTTGCAGCCTTCTTGCAGAGCAAAAAAGATCTCAAAAAGGAACTGATCATCAGGCCAACCTTTCTTGGGCCGGTTCATATTGCAGTTTTCTTGACTTGTGTTGCTGGCATGATTCCTCTCACGATGGCACCGATGGATGTTAACTCTGGACCCACTTCATTAGTCGTCCCTTCGATTTTCGTTTGCGCATCTGGCTTCGCAGCTTTCTATGTGGCCATGAGCACTCTGCGCAGATATTTCCGAGATCTGGACATCATGAAACAGCAGCTGCTGTCCATCTCTTTTGATACCGCTCGCAGTAGCTGTTGCGACACGAACCATGTCGCCGAATCGGGAGCCCCAGTCTTTTGTGACCGGAGGATTGTGAAGGAATGCGTGAATGTGTGGTTCGGGAGCGAAGAAGCTGGTTGGTGGATGGTGGTTTCAAACTTTTGTTGTTTTTTTGAGAACCATTTTCTTCCGAATGACGAACGCATGTTTTCATGGGACTCACTTGTTCCACGATCCAGGAAGCCTTTGAGAACATCCTGCGTTCAGAGATCTTGGCCATTTTGACCCATGACTTGACGGAGCGGATTTTCAGCACCAAGTCGAGTCTTGCAATGTTCATGCCGCTGATGTGGGGCTTGATGGACATCTCAGCAAGTGAGTGGCAGCTGCCTGCAAAAGAGTTCTGGCAGAGATCAGCTCTGGCCTTCTTGCTTCATGGTTTGAGCATTTGGCTGGTGTTCATGCCCATGTTGAAGGATGTGCTCATCCTGGTTGGAAAGTTGACACGGAGGAGACCGAAGAGTCAGTGCCTTGAAGTCATGAAGAATTTTCTGAGCTCCTGCACTTTGATAGTGCCATGTGCGATCGTGATGGCAACGTATGCCTTTTCGTTTTCCTTGACCACGCTCCTTCCCATTGCAACTCGGTGGCACAATTCTTTCTGAATGCTGGGCTGTAAAGGATGTAAAACGGAATTAGATGAGAAATGATGATGCTTGCGCTGCTTACACGTAACACGTAACAGGTGTTCAGCACTCTTCAAAAAGAGGTGTCTGTGATGCGATTTCAGCCCCTTTCAGGAGCGTGCGGCAGTCTTTCTGGGCTGCATCCTGTGCTATTCCATGGTCACTTGGTGCCTGACCATTGCTATCAAGGCCGCCTTGAAAGGAACATGAGACGTATGAGACCCGCGGGTGGCTGCTAGTTGTTCTGTTCGTTGCAACTTAGTGAGCTACCACACATGTTTCATAATATGTTTTTTTGGATATTCCAGTAGTACCGCACAAGGCGGTGGCGGAAGTTTCAAAAATAGGAAACCTATAGGAGAAATTGGTTGTTGTGAATCAAGGATGGCAGTGCGAAGCCGCTGATGGACCGAAAGGTGGTTGAGGTCTCCTCTCTTTCTCTTTCTTTCTCTGTTTCTCTCTCTTTCTCTGATTATCTACCC